AGTATCTACTAGATATTTGTTATATTATAAATGTGTAATTATAGTAGTAGAAATTATTACCTTTGATGCTCTTGTTGCTTGCTGTAAAACCAGATCACTGTAAAATCACTTTTAGTACAATAAATAACTCTTACTAGTAAAATTCCTTGAAAAAAAAATCATTTCAGCTTCTTGTATATTTCCTTCTCTAGTTGGTTTGTTTTTTCATTCCATTATTCTTGCTGAATTGATGATTGTCTTGACTAGTGACCACACAGGTACAGATTCAATTCAAATGTGTTGGGTGTTGTTATTGTCCATAATCTCTTTTCCTTGTAAATTATAACGTTTCTTAAAAATTTTAACTAATTCAATACTTTACCAACCATYGAAGCTAAAATATCCACTATGCAGCTGAAAACTAAAAGGAAAGACAATGAACAAGTGTAAACTACTAAAAATATAATTTAATTTATAAGCTGACTGTGAAAATAAGTAGTATAGACCCCTTGCATGTGACGTCAAGGCAGCTTCATCTGGAGGACAAAACAAAAGATTTTTAACCTCTTGGGAACTAGAATCCATGATTGTTTTGTCCTCCAGTTGGAGCTGCATTCCCATGAACTGCAAGGGGTCTATTTGTGGTGTTGCATCATCCATTATTCTGCAAAATAGTCCTTTAATAAAGGTAGTATCAATTTCCCAGTAAAATACTGTATGTCATGAGATATTCTATCCATTTAAGGTGTTTAAATCAGAGATAGCTGTGATCATTGCGATTTTTTGATTTCCACAACTGATGCGATACTCCAACGATAATCCATGCAGTCAATAATTATTTTTGTACATCTAATATCAGGCGTAGTAATTAATAGCGATACACGTTACCTGCAAAACCTTAACCTTACCTTCTTGAATAAATATGTGAAATCATACTCAAATAGATAATAAAATTACAAAAATCCAAGCATAATGATCTAATATACATTGTAATCTAAATTCTTTTTACTAACATAATTAATAATTAATACATAAATGCTGTATTTTCTCCTCACATATTAAACTGTATTTTCTCCTCACATATTAAACTGTTCAAGTTAGCAAAATATGTCATCTTTGATA